AGAAAGTTTAAACTTCATTTGTTTCCACTGACGTGTACCGAATGCTGTCAGCGTGGACCATATGATATGACAGAAACGATGGGCGACATGTAGATTTGGGTTTCTATTCGTCGAGAGAGGACTTTACTTCTCATTGCCTACATAGTAGAGTACATAGAAAGTGGCACTAGTTGCAGATAGTTCTTCTGCATTGGACTTCAAGGCTGATATTGCTGTCGGTGTTACGGAGTTGAGAGTAAGATCTATATCAGGAAAAGCAATATGATCCATGTGCATGTATAGAGATCTTATAAGCTTTCACACTCATAGGGAAGTCGCTGTACACCTTTTTGTCGATATGAGATCTCTTTACAATAAGTCAATTTTTTCTTAGCAACACAGCATGATCGTTTTTTTTTAGTCATCGAACTACATTTTTCTCATGTGAGACCCATATGAGACCTTAATCTGTCACGAGTACCTTAGGGAAGCTTATGTTTAGTTTAAACCACTCAAATTTGAGGTTATGTTTTAGTAGTTATACCTGAAATAGTTGACTTTGTTACATTAGGGTGGTCATATTGTCAACCATTTAATTTTTTTCTAGGAAAGATTTGATTACTCAAGAAATTGTTTGCTTTGAGTGCTTGGGAATCTCCTCACATCCTTTTCGGCTCGTCGGTGGGGCCATGAAATGTTACACTCCATAAAATCTTTTAGAGTCAGCTTCTAGGTAGACTATCTGGCATGTTTGATTGATTGTGGTTGGCTAACTCTCTGTACATTCATGTAAATGTGCAAGCAATCTGGTGCAGTTATGCTTTCTAAAAGTTATGTCTTACCAAAACGCTAAAAGCATTTCTTCTCTGTAGGTTAAACCAAAGAAGACTGTTTTTAACTAGCCCACGAACACACTGAATTTGACCCTTAAAATCTTGTATTTTAATTGTTCATTAATTGAGCTCTGGAGATTTTCTATTAGATGGTGTTGATACTTCTATTTCGGACTGATCCGAATATTGTAAATGAACTGTGGACCCTGAAACGGTTTGCTTGATGCACCTCGTTCTGGCCGGCAAGCCAATCAAAGATGAAATTCTGCAATTGGTAGAGCAATACTGCCATACAAACTGTTAGGAGATTGCCGTCACTCGGCATCGCTCGCATGACTGTTTGGAATCATTTAAAAAAGCCTGGCTACTCAAGGAAGCTCAATGCTTGGGACCTACAGGAATTAACACAAAAAAAAAATTTGTATAACCGAATAACCGAATTATCGCTACAAAATCGAACCATTTTTTAAGCGACTCATTACGGGTATAGAGAAAAAAATCCTCAAAAAGGATCCGAATTATGGTGCGCTTGTAAGGGAGTGACCTGTTATGAGCTACACTATAAGCTTTTCAAAATGTTAAAGAATTGATTAATATCAAAAGCGTCGAGTTTCATAATGACAACGCCAGACCACATTCATCTATGATGACCAAACAAAAATTTAAAGAACTTAGGTTTGGAGTTTTGATGCAACCATCCCATAGTTAGGACCTTGCACCATCTGTTACCATTGCTTTCGGCCTCGGTAAAACTTTCTTGATAGTAAAAGTTATTTATTTTTATGTCCCGTGCGAATTTTAAATTATGTCAAATTAATAGAGAGACACAGATTTTAACAATTTGTTATGAATATAATGATAATGGTAAAGTAATAAGTAATCCATTATTTTTGCAATAGATGACTTTAGTGATCTGTAACTCGCGTTCTTTATGTGCAATTTGATTACACTAGATTTTGTATTAAAAAAGGTAACCAGGTAAATGTTGGCCACTTAACTCAGTATTATTTGTGCGACAGAAGCGAAAGCCCAAGGCATGCAGCTGAAAATGTGTGAAATAGTATTTATGGGCTTGATACTGTAGCAGTCAATCCTGTAAATTTTGGTTTCGTCGGCTTCGTTCCCGAAATTTTCATGCAAAAGATGCGTCACGGTGTGGAAAGCCTATTATCGAGAATGTCGATAAAATAATAGAAAGCGTCTGTCTAATTTGAAGCTAAACATACAAAAAAAAAAAAAAAAAAAAAAGAAACAGTTTGGAACCACTTAAAAAAGGTCTTATACACAAAGAAGATGTATGGGTACCACATGAGTTAATGGGAAAAAAATTCCAACGACTGAATTTTGATCTGCTTTTAAATCGTAACAAAATCAACATCTTTCTGGAGCGGATGGTGACTGGTGATGAAAAGTTGATCATTTATAGCAACGACAAACGAAAACGGTAGTGGCTGAAGGGCAGAACGGCATCCAAACCAATATTAACGGTCAGGAAATACAGCGAAACTCTTAATTCGGACCAGTATTGTTAGCAATTGGGCTGGCTAAAGGAAGCATTCCCCCTAAAACGCCAAATTTCGGGTAACAGGTGGGGATTGTGCTTCATCAAAACAACGACAGAACACACACTTCCATCGATAGTGACTCGCCAGAAGCTCTGAGAGCTTGTACCAAGAGATTTAAATCTTTTCTTGTCTAAGATGATTGATTTGGCTGGTGAGTAATTGGCCTCAAGAGAAGCTCCCTTGCAAATCGTTTTTCCAATTTTTTGTTTGCCAAAAGGGACAAGGATTTCGCCGAGAGAGAAATTACGACATTTACTTCGAAATGGCAAAAAGTTATTGAGCAGAAGGGTGAATATTTGGCATAAGAATAATTCTTACTATGGTAAATAAAGCCTTCTGTTTAATGCATGAATAATGTATTACTTTTTACTAGGCCTATGTATATATACATATATTTAGTTTTAGTTAGGAACGAACTTTGTATGAGGATAGTGCCAAAACCTGTATGTATGTACAAACTTTTTTTTTTTTTTGAAAATAAATTGTTCCTTGTGGGTTATTTGCTGAAGCAACTAATGGTGCAGACAGTTGTGTTGCACGAATGCCTTTACACAGCACTCTTTTGTACTTATCTATACATAATCATATGCATGCGCATATGTTTGTTTTTATAGCTTTGGTGCACACGCTTGTTTGTAAAATATTTTTATTTTTTTATTTTTAAATTTATTTACTTATATTTTTTTTTCCAACCAAGTCATTGGCATGACGTGAGTGTTTGACCGAGGTGAATTGAAAATTTGTGCTGCATACACAAACCCATGTAAATGGGTATATACATACTCGTAAATATGTACCTAAGTATATACATGCATTCAAGGTGCAATTAACCTTCTTTGTTTACCGTTGTTTTGTTATTAGTTGACTTCTTACGCTGATTTTCACTGCTTCTTTGTACAAAAAATAAAAAAATAAAAATAAGTAAATAAAATAATATTTGAACTTTTCACATATTTTGATTGACAACGAGTGTAGTCTTCAGAACCTTCTTCTTATTCCGTTCGCTTTAGTACGGAAGTTTCATTATGTTTTAAATAAGACATTTGAATTTGGACTGAGTGCTTGTTTTGAGCCAACAAGTGGCGACCAACATATAGTAAAGAATTTTAAGTCGTTGAACTCGAACCTTAAGGAAAGACCTTAAAATTCTCGATATTAATATGGAAAGGTACCTTTGTACCCCGATTTGATAATATCTTCTGTTTTTAAGAAATCATGGTCTATTCTAAACTTTTCATAATGCTAACTATTATACGAGTTCTAATTTAGAGGTTAGGCTGATCGACTAGTCACTTGTCGTTCAAGTTATTAGCATTAAACTTATCAGATAACTTGCCTATTTCAGAGTCAAAAGATAGGGTCCTCCGCTTACGACAAGGTTTACCAAAAAAAGGTGTTATTTTGGTATTCAAGAGAAGATCGATGCATTTGTTACTTGTGTGGCACACAGCATCATCTTGCTGAAATTAAACGTTGTCCAGATAAATATCAACCCATTTCTACCAATAAAAATCATTAATCACCACTCGATAGCGCAATCCATTCATTTTCAAAAAAGCTGGTCCCCGCCGTACCATAAACCGTACAAAACAGTTACACTTTTCAACAATTAATTCTACCGATCAAAAGTTTCCTCATTGACCTAGAAATCGAGGTGAAAATGGGCCTCATCTGTCGAGATGATTTTTCGATGAAATTCTAGATAATTTTCGTGCATATCAAGGAACCAATCAGCAAAGAATCAGAATCAGAAACAGCAGCAATACTCTCGATTGTTCTTGATTGTCGTGCACGTGTTTTATTCTTCACATTACCAACTTGGCATAAAAGTTCCACTTTTTCTACCAATATCTGTATTGCGGTCCAACAAGGTACTTCACGACCATCTTTTTGTTTTAGGAACCGTCTCTGTCAGGTTTTCATTAATTTTAAAGTATATAGAAGTGCAGAGTATCGTTCCATTAGATTACTTTTCAAATGTCAAAAATAAGTATGTACAGCTTCAAAAGTGACATCTACCGGAATAGCAAGCTATTCAAAATAATACCTCTGTATATTGGAAAACCCTTCTAGACTCCGTCCCTTTTCTTTCTATGAATCACAAGCAATGGAAAAGCTATCCAAGTCTTAATAACTACTTTTCAAAGAAAACTTAAGCAAATATCTTTCTGAAATCAGCAAATTATTCATTTTCTATTTAGGTTATTTTAGGTTTTAAGTTATGCGAAGCAATATTCATGAGTAGTAATATTGTTTTGAGACCTTTAACAGGACGTCTAAAGGTAGGCTACGTGCGCTTTTTAGACTCTATTAGCGGTAAAAAAAAAAAAGAATTCGTTGCCTACATTTAGGCGCTCTTTAAATTAATTTCTAATCAATTCATTTACTTTCCAATAATAAGCACTAATTTAAGGTGGAAATGTATGTTATTTTTGAGAGCAAATCGGTTTTCAAAAGAGAAATATGTTTTATTAGAAATATTTCTTACCTTCTCTAATTTATTTTATTTCATGGACAAGCAAACATAAATCATTGCCTACATTTAGGCGCTTTCAGTTTAAAATAATAATTTAAATATGAAAATTCGTTAATTAAAAACACTTTTTTACTCTTACTTTTACAGAGGTCTCTTCACTCACCGAGCTCGCTGCACGTTGTGTCGCCTCATATATCCCCTTCGAGTTGGTCGAACATGTCTATCCGCCCGTACCGGAACAACTGCAATTGCGCATAGCATTTTGGAGTTTCCCAGACAATGAAGAGGATATACGTCTCTATTCCTGTTTAGCAAATAGTTCCGCGGATGAATTTAACCGTGGCGATCAGTTGTTTAAGACGCGCGCTGTTAAGGACACACTACAAATTGGTTTGTTTCAAATTAAAAAAATTTTGAAATTAAAAACCCAAATTTTTTTTTTAAAGATAAAACTAGAATTTTCTTTAAAAAAAAAACAAATAAATTAATTATGCTCTCTTTACAGGTTTTCATTTGTCCGCCACTGTAGTTGGTCAAACACCACGTGCCCACTTCAATGTGGCTGTTACCTTCGATCGTAGGCGCATCTCGTCGTGCAATTGTACTTGCACTTCGCCCGCCTATTGGTGCTCGCACGTGGTCGCCGTCTGTTTACATAGAATTCATAATGTGCGTCAGCAATAGAATTTCATACAAACAAACACTTTAATTAATTAATAATTGTATATTTTTGTTCGTCTCCTTTCACAGCCCTTAGAAGTATGTTTACGTGCACCCGTCTCTGAATCGTTGACACGTTTGCAACGTGATCAATTGCAGAAATTCGCGCAATATTTAATCAGCGAATTACCGCAACAAATATTACCAACAGCGCAACGCTTGCTGGATGAGCTGCTCAGCTCACAGCCCACTGCCATAAATACGGTGTGCGGTGCGCCTGATCCAACAGCTGGTGCTTCTGTGCACGATCAGACAAGTTGGTATTTGGATGAGAAGACTTTGCATGCTAATATTAAGCGTATTTTAATTAAATTCTGCCTACCGGCACCAATAGTTTTTAGGTAAGTGCGCTGAACAATTCTTCGATAACTATACATACAATAAAAAAATACCTGCCTCTCGCTCTCTCTTTCTGTCTTTCTTTTTAGCGATGTAAATTATTTAACAAACTCCGCACCACCGGCTGCAGCCGAATGGAGTTCACTATTACGTCCGTTACGCGGTCGTGAGCCGGAGGGCATGTGGAATCTACTATCAATTGTACGTGAAATGTATAGACGTTGCGATCGTAATGCTGTACGTTTGCTTGAGATCATCACCGAAGAGTGTATGATGTGCGATCAAATATTGATATGGTGGTTCCAAACGAAATTGTCACTAATGATGGGCTCACACGGGCATAGCGGTGGCAAACACTCGAATACACATTCAAATTCAACGGCCCTCCAGCATGCCTGTAGTTCTTTGTGCGATGAAATTGTAGTGTTGTGGCGTTTGGCAGCATTAAATCCCGGCTTAGCGCCCGATGAGCGTGACATGTTGCATGCGCAATTCACTGCATGGCATCTGAAGATACTCGACCGTGTGGTGAAGTGTCGCATGATGCCGGCATCGTACAGCAATAAGCACCAACAGAATTCAAGGTGGGAATGAATGTCAGCCTGTTTTCAAAAGAAACAATTTTTTAATAGAAATACTATTTTAATTTCATTAATTTCCTTTAAAACGTCGGAAACGTTTTAATTAATTTGTTGCATATATTCAGGCGCAACCAGTCATTATAAAAATTTAATAGTTACTATGATAGTAATTAATTTTATTCTAAATAACATAAACAAAAATGTTTCCAACGTTAAGAAGGATTTTTAAATCATTTTTATTGCTCTTCTATAAAATTAATTATAAAGTGGCGCTCAAATGTAGGCAACAATCATCTTTTCTACTTCAATATTCTTAATCAGTTGCCTATATTTGGCACACATAAGATTTTTTTGATATTGTGTTAAAGAATTGTATATGATTTTGCCAAGCTTTTAGAATTTTATGTTTGTTATTTTTTTATATTTTTTTTTTTAATTTTTTTGTTTATTTTAATTTTTTCTTAATTTTTTTATTTATTTATATTTTTTTTAATTGTTTTTGTAATTTATTTTTATTTTCTTTTAATTTATTTTTTTTTAATTTATTTTTATTTTTTTTAAATTTATTTTTAATTTATTTTTTTTTAATTTAATTTTATTTTTTTAAATTTATTTTTTTTTATTTATTTTTTTTTATTTATTTTTATTATTTTTTTTATTATTTTTTTTTATTATTTTTTTTATTATTTTTTTTTATTATTTTTTTTTAATTTTTTTTTATTATTTTTAGGTTAATTTTTTTATTTTATTTTTTATTTTTCTTTTATTTTTAATTTTTTTTTATTTTTAATTTTTTTTTTATTTTTAATTTTTTTTTATTTTTGATTTTTTTTTATTTTTAATTTTTTTTTTATTTTTAATTTTTTTTTTATTTTTAATTTTTTTTTATTTTTAATTTTTTTTTTTTTTTTTGTAACTCCTACTACATTTTCATCTCATTCGTTTGCCTATCCACAAAATCACCTAATTTCTATTTTTGCCTTCTTATTCCCACTCAGATCTGATGCGGAAATGTTTGTTGGTTTTAAGCCAGCTATTGAAGCTTGTTATTTGGACTGGGAGGAGTATCCCATTGCTGGTATCACGCACACACACGATACCAATCCAATATATTATAGCCCTTTCACATGTTTCAAGCACACCGATTCGAAAAGCGAAACGAATAGTTGTCAATTGAACGCCACACAAGCGGTAATGGCCAACAACAAGCACTACAACTATATCAGCTCATCCACGGATCATGGCGCACATGCCGCATTCAAACAGCGCCATGAGCGTCCGTTCCGTGAACGTTTCTACATTTCGTCCAGCAATAATTCGAGTAATTCATCAAGTGACAGTGTACATGCACGTCTACATCAAGGACTTGGTGCGGCTGCTGGAGGAGCATCCGGTAGTGGATGTGTCGGTGGTGCAGTTGGTGTGAGTATTAATCCACCAGCAGCGGATGGTGGTGTAATGAGCAATGTTGGTGCGATGGTTGCCGGCGCTAGTAATGCCTTGGCTAATGTGGAAGCAAACGTTCTACGTACAGATGCTGGACCAAGTGGGAGTGGTCATGGCGGTGTGCCAGGCGGCGGTGTCACCATAAACAGCATCAGCGGTCCCTCAGCAATAGCAGATTTGCCCCGTCTACCAATGAGCAGTGTAACCGGTGGAAGTGGCAGCGGGAGTGTTGGTGGCGGTGGTGTAGGTGTCGGTAGTGCTTTGGGCGCTGGTATTGGTGGTGGTGGTGGTGACGGGAATCGTTCCAGCGCAAGCAGTGAAGGTTTTTGTGAGAATGAAGACTTTGGCGGCGACAGCAGTAGTAATAACCTTTGTGCGGAAGGTGGTCAAACGCTCGCGCCAACACATGCAACTGGTACAACAATGCGGCTGGAGCCAGCAGATTCGCCACGCAATTTCGGCGCACTAAGTGCCGATGTGCCAGTTATGAGCTCCGTAGGGCCAAGCGTTGGCACATCATATCAAACGACCACTTCATTATCGTCCGACACCTCATCCTCTACATCAAGCTCGTCATCGAACTCTTCGTCGTCATCGATGTTGATGGGTGCTGCCGGCATAGATGCCACACCCGACGTGACAGCGAAAGCTAGCAATAAATTAATATTGGGCGTTGACGTCAGACGTATGTCGAAAGAGGAATCCTTCTCTTCATCCAGTGACGAGTTCAACACACATGATTTACCCGTTGCGGCAAAGCCGGAAGAGTTGACCCCTGTGGCAAGCACATCTGCAGCGGCAGCGACGGCAACAGTAGTTAAATCGGCGCCGGCTTTAGCAGCAGCTGCCTCAACATCGACTGCACACAATAAGCAAACGTCGCCTGCAAATTCGTCAAATGCTGATCAGCATGCGGCAACAACAGCAGCAACAAGCGCTACGGGCAATCAACCGGTAGCAAGCACTTCACACGCAGCTCAGCAAACCACAGGGGGTAGTGAAAAACCCCACATCTTCTCGAATGTACGTCCCACTGAGGACGCTTGGGATATACTTTTGGCGCGCTCTGAGGGCCTACATGCCCATGGGCATGGCCGAGAGGCGTGTATATTGGCAGTGCGTTTGGCCGAAGAGATGTTGGCTAACCCGCCCAATTTGATGGTGGAACTGCCGCAGATGCCGAAACGCAAGGGTAAAAATAAAAATATCAATCCCATCTCACATCATCTCACTGTGTTGGCGTCCTCCACTTTGTCAAAATGTGCATTCCTTTGCACTGTGTTGTCGGAGAATTCAGAACACTTTCATATTGCATTCAGAATTTGCCTGTTCGCTTTGGAAATGCCACGCCCTCCAGCCAGCACAAAGCCGCTGGAAGTGAAATTGGCCAATCAAGAAGCAGATATACTCACGCTCTTAAAGAAAATACCACTAAACGAGCCCGAATTACAGGTAATACGTGAACGCGCCGAATGTCTGCGCAACGGTACATTTAAATCGCGCGGTGAGGCATTACTACCCATCAATTTGGCAACATTCATCTTCGACGCGCTGGTTATGCCACAACTAACCAGTAAAGAACAACGGAATCGCCTTCTTAGTATGATGTATCGTCTGCCCTCCGACGAAAACTTAGGTTTTGAAGCAGCAGTGGCCGCTTTGGGCTTGAAAGCGAATGTGTCGGAGGCAGAACATCCGTTACTATGCGAGGGTACCAGACGTCAACGTGGCGAGCTCGCGCTAACCCTCCTCTGCTATTATAAGGATGAACCGCGAAAAATCGCCAAGATCATGGAGAAACTTTTGGACCGTGAGATACATGTGTTGCTGAAAACACCACTGCTGCCAGCATATTACTCGAACAACCCACCTGTGCGCACCGCTGCATCGTCGATGTCGCGACGTGAAGAACAAGAGTATGCGAGCGCGATTAACGGCGGCGGCGGCGGCGCACATAATGCTAACCTTAACGATATGTTCCCGTCGGATTATGGTTCGGTGGGCGGTAATAGTCGTCCACACAGTTCAACCAGCGCCGAATTGGAGGTAGGCATGAGCGCACTCAGTGTCTCGTCTTCACAGGGCGGCGGTAGTGGCACGCTAACTGGCGCCACTGGTAGCAGTCAACCTATGACTGGACCTGGTGGACAAGCGAATGTCTCTGGCGGCGCCACAAGTCGGTCCAAAGATAGCCGCTACAAGGGCAAACGCGCGTACCCATCTATACCCAATCAGCCCTCGGAAGCGAGCGCGCATTTTATGTTCGAGCTCGCTAAAAATTTACTCATCAAAGCGGGTGGTAATTCATCAACTTCCCTATTTACACAGGCCAGCACTAATCAGGGTCATCACGGACCACATCGAGCGCTACATATATGCGCCTTTCAGCTGGGTCTGTACGCACTCGGCTTACACAATTGGGTCAGTCCCAATTGGCTGTCACGCACCTATTCATCGCACGTCTCTTGGATACTCGGACAAGCGATGGAAATCGGCGCACCCGCTATTAGTTTCCTCATAGACACATGGGAAGGCCACTTAACGCCGCCCGAAGCAGCAGGTATGGCAGATCGCGCTTCTCGTGGCTGGGACAACAATATGGTATACCCCGCAGCTGAGCTGGCGCTCTCAGTATTACCACATGCAGCTGCACTCAATCCCAACGAAATTCAGCGCGCCATATTGCAATGCAAAGAGCAAAGTGATCATATGCTCGAACGTGCTTGCATCACCGTAGAGAATGCGGCTAAAGGTGGTGGTGTCTATCCCGAAGTACTCTTCCAAGTGGCGCGTTACTGGTACGAGTTATACGGCCACAATACACCGAACAATGAAAACGAACAACACGATGACCATTTGGATCACTCTGCGGTTAGTCTCAGCGCTTTAATAGAATCCCATCAACATCATGAGATGCAACAACAAATGCAAGCGCAAGTACAAGCACAGCAACAGCCGCAAGGCAGTATGGTCGGTCCACCTCCAGTTATGCCAACAGCACCACCGGGTGGCCCCAATGCACCACTTCAGCCAGGTCAGGTGGTGGTAACCACAGCGCCGCAACCCTTTCAACAAGGTGTTGCTACACTCGCGTCCATTGGCTTACCGCCATATCCGCCGTATAGTTTCTGCCAAAATCTATACCATCACAATATCACCACTTACCCGGGTAATCAAATGCAAATGTATATTTCTGCAGGTCCACCGCCCCCGCAAGCATACCCCGGTTATCCGTCGCAGCCAACGCAACAACAGAATCCATCTGCAATGCAGCCGGGTGGCTCAGCACAACCGCCCTCACCGTATGTACACCAACAAGCAGCACCTGGAGGCGGCTTCCCACCACAAATGCCACCACAACAACTGCCACCACAGGCGTATCAGGCAATGCAGTGTGGTCCTGTTGGTGCGCCACCCAATAGTTTTCCGCCACAACCCGGTCAAGGTGGACCGCCACAAATGCCACCACAGAATATGCAACAAGTTGCCGCTGCTGCTGCTGCTGGCGCTGCCGCTTACTATGGGCAACCGCCGCATCAGCAAGTGCCGCCACAACATCCCTCACAAGCAGCTGCAGCTAGTGTAGCTATGGCGCAACACCAAATGCGACAGCAACAACAGCAAGGTGTTTATCCGCCGTTCGTGCAACAACAGCAGCCGCCACAGCCGCCTGTGCGTCAACGACATCCACATCAATTCACGTAAGTTTGACTACAGCAAAGAAATAAATAACTAAATAAATAAATAATGCAAAAATTAGAGTACTTTATTAATCCTCTTTCTTTATCTCTACCCATAGTTCAACACAACTGCGTTATCTACTCGCCGCTTATAATGTGGGAATGTTGGCTATGGAGACTTTAGCGCGTCGTGTACATGATGATCGTCCGCAAGCGAAATATGCACGTAATCCTCCCTACGGCGAGGATGTCAAATGGTTGTTGCGCATCTCCAAAAAACTGGGCACTCAATATCTGCACCAATTCTGCGTTTGTGCTGTAAACTCGATTGTCAGTCCGTTCGTTTTGCACGACGTCGCCATTGAGTCGGCGCATTATTTGGGCAGAAACAATCACCAGTTGGTAATGCAACATTTGCGTTCGGCGTTAACGCCGCTGGTGCAAAAGTGCCAGCAAATGTAAGTGTCAAGAGCTCGTTTTTCATTTTCTTATTTATAAATTGTATTGAATTAATATATATTAATTCTCTTCGAATTAACAGGTACATTCAATGTATACATCAGAAATTGTATCATCTGACGCAGGCAGACTATGAAGATTTCGCAAGTATTATCTTAGCGGCACGGGCGGCTTTCCAAATTACACCGGAAGGAAGTGCTCAATTCAAGGATTGGCTGCAATCGATCAAAAGGTAATACGATTAAATTAGAAATGGTTCTATATGTTTTAATGGGATTTCAGTAGTTCAAGCAGCAGTTGGTATTCGGCTTGCGAAGTTAGCTCATAGAGATAATATTTTTTATTTCAAAATGGATTCAACAAAAATTTGATTTAATAAAATAGGTTTTTTTTTCAATTTCCGGTTGTCAGCTCAGATTTACTTATAATAGTAAAAAAAATTATTTATTATTTAAAATCTCTCCATATTCCATGAATTCGAATTTTTAGGTTACATACTTATGGCTTTTATTTTATCCTAGAAATATTCTCAATGTGTCTGAAATTCTCTACCGGGGATGTTGCATGATAAAACACGCAACACGACCAGCGAGCTTAGCTTGTGGAAAAATTTGCTTTTATTACACTGAAGAGAGTTGTACTTGTTTGTTTCAAGGGAAAATATTGGTGTAGTGAAAAGAAATCTATTATTTTTCCAATAGCTGGCGTTCTTTATCTGTATCTCGCTTTGTATAAGCCCGATCGGCTTCAGCTAGATGACATTTCGTACTAACTTTTCCAACAGTTTTGTGATTGGTTGATTCAGTTTTGTTTGAGCGTGCGTCAAGAATGAGCACTAACCAAGAGAAAATACGCTAAGGGCCAAATAGCAAGCCAGGCGGCTGAAAATGTGAATAGCGTTTATTGTCGTGATACTTTTACAGTCACTAATGTACAATTTCGGTTTCATACCGGCAATTTTGATGTAAAACACAAATATACTTCATGGAGTGGATGGCCAATTGTCCAAAATATATATAAGATCATGGGCATTGTCGAGCCCGACCGTCATAAGCCTTAAGCACTGTTTCGAGTGCCCAAGAGCTAAAGATTGCACAAAAAAAACCGTTTGAAAGCATTTGAATAAGGCTGGATACGAGAAGTAAAAAAATTAAAGTCTTCAGTTTCATGCAAAAATAATGGATTTCTTTTTACCACGCCAATAAATACTCATATGACCAATTTTGACGCTGGTGTCGGTTTATTTTTTTTTATCAGGTGTACATCTTTGCTTCCGCCGTTTTTTTTTCCAAAATTAAAAGCTTTATTGCGAAAAAAGAGTCCTCTTTTGGCGCTATCCATGAAGCAAATTATTTTTCCAATACTTCGAAGGATTGAAAATGTTGATCTGCCAGGCCGTGTGCCATCGAACGGAATAGGTGGAAGTCAGAAGAGGCTACAGCTGAGGAATACGGCGGGTGGGCCAAGACTTATCATTTCAGAGTTTCCAGGTACTTTTTGACCACTTTTGCGACGTGAGGCCGAGCATTGTCGTGTTGGAGGATGACTTTTTCATGTCGCACTTGATATTGTGGCCGCTTTTCTTTTGGCGCGCGACTAAGGCGCATCAGTTGCGTTCGGTAGCGGTCTCCTGTGATGGTTTCACCTGGTTTTAAGAGCTCGTAGTAAATCACACCGAGCTCATCCTACCAAATACAAATCCTAACCTTAGCGCCGTAAATATTCGTTGAAACCACTCCCGACACGTTCTTTCACTCAGAGCAGAATCACCGTAAGTTTCTGAGAGCATTCGATGCGCTTCAGCTGCATTTTTTTTCGAATTGTAACAGAAAGTAAAACCTCCCGGAAATGGCGAGAATTACGCACATAAACGGACATTTTCCAGCGTGAATAATACGAAAACAAGAACAACTGTCACTGAAACGGCGATGACCATTCGTTAGGCATTGTCCACACTCATTATCATCTATGTATTTCAACCAGCCTCAGCCGGTGCAGCCACCTATTGGAAAACGGCGGAAGCAAAGTTGTACACCTGATACAAAAATAAAAAATCAGATAAGTGATTAGGCACTTAAATCAGTCATATTTGATAATGTCCGGTTAGTTCTAGGCGTAATAACAAGAGTTAGGCAAGTAGGAGTGTTGGCCGGCAGATTTTAACTTCGACTTAAATAGCGTTTTGGGCCATTTTGATACATTTTCGTAAAACGTTGATATTCTTGCTATACCAACTCATCCTTGCTTTCTTGTCCTCGGGCTATTATAGAGCAGATCCACTTTAAATGTATGCACCCCAAAGATCCAATGACTCTTAATTTTGGCTTTAAGTCTGAATGGATCCCTTCTTAAGTCTATTTAATGCATAAGTTCTGTTATACTTGGTAGAAATTTTTACTACGTCGCAGTGGGATATTTATGTAGGACTTAACAGCTGACAGTACAGCATCTAGTTACATACTAAAGCCATCTTGAGCGGAATTCCCAAGTTATGAGCTTAAGGTTATAGACTGGAAGAACTGTCCGACCTATGCCATTTTATGTGCAAGTGCACCCACACTATTATTCCTTCAAGCTCTGTTAAAGAGAAGGTCACAAATCGAAGTAGGGCATGTGGTAAGACATTGTTTTCCCTCCGCTCTGTTGAGTTGAGTTTCTGATACTAGCATTGTTTTCGCCTGAAAAACATGGCGATTACTATATATAAATTCGACATGTTGAACACGACATTGCGGATCCGTTATTAAATATCTAGGTGCATAATCTCCCAAAATCTAAAATCTCTGTTACTCTGGGAGTAACAACATACCAGAATAATTTATTGAATTGTTTTCATTCAAATAGCTAGTGGCTTATGATAAATATGTATGATAGCTATATTTTACGCGTTATGGACATGATATTTTCTCCGCTTCGGATTCGTCAGGAGATGTTTCCTACTTAGGTAACTCGTCAACATATTTGTTATCGAATGTTTCTATGTTCCTATGGACGGCAAACCAAATTATAGCGATGTCTAGATGATTTGCAAGAGCTTTTAACGAAAGATTAGAAGATGCTAAGACCTTCCGGACCACTCGCAGTCCATTTTGAACCTCTCGGTATAGATTAAAATTATTTCCCCCACCCCCTAAATACCCCTTTCATGCCTACATGAAGAGATTACCCTTATTTCCTACGCCCATAATTGATTTTCTTCTTTCTGAAAATCTTCGATATTTATTAAAAATGTTTCTAGTGAGCCAGCCTAATGTATATATATTTATATTTACTATTTACCAGATCGAAATCCTGCAAAAAGGAATTATGGACGCAAATCAATGCAGCATTGCAAAGCAATTCTAAATGACAAAGACTTGATTCATTCAGTTTGTCACATTCATCGTCCGCACCGAAAATTGACAATTACTTTTCAACAAACAACAACAACAACAACACTGCAACCAATTCAACAACATCAACGTCAGCTGCTGTAGACAACGTGGTAATAAAAACAACATTAGATAACACAACAACAAACCCAACCGTCGCTGCATCAGCCGCCGGCGCCGCTGCAGCTGCTGCTTCTAATGCGAACTTACACAAATTTGAATGTAATGCAGCGACGGTTGGTAATGAAATAGCTGGTGTTGGTAGCAGTAACATACCACTCGGCGGTGGTGGTAGTGGGGGAAGCCTAGGCCGCAGCAACAACGGTAACAATCAAAATAACAGCAATTGTAACACAAGTAACGGCAACAGCAGTAATTCACAACACAACAATAATGCTAGCAGTAGCGGCAGACATGGGAAAACCATAGGGGCCGCAGGATGTGGCTTGGCAACATTGCCTAATGCAACAATTACACCCTTGTCGGCAACATCCGCAGGCAGCACACCGCCTAGCAGCGCAGAGGCGACAAATACCAACAGTTTCGCCTATTATACGGCAGGTATAGCGGAGGGTGCGGCGCAACGGCATGTTTCAACTGTGGCAGCAGCAACAACAGCAACGGCGACACCACCTCCCCCACCGCCGCCGCTACCATCTTCTTCGTCTACACCATCGTCATCAACGCATTACCACACACAACAGCATCAGACGCCGCCAACGCCGACCAATCAGCAACACTATGCAACGGGGGTCGGTGCCAGTGCGCCGATAGCACCGCTGTCTGATGCTTTTCATCACCAACAAATGCAGTTGCAGCTACAGCAGCAATATGAGCAACATTATCAGTTGCAAACGGCCTACTACCATCACCACCATCATCATCAAGCACATGCACATCAGCAGCAACAACAACAACTCCAACAACCACACCAGCAGCAGCAGCAGCAGCAACAGCAAGATGAGCAGGCATCTTCATCTAAATATGCGCCGGCATCACAGCACTCAACAGCTTATCATCCTCAACACTGTCCACCACCACTACCACCAACAACAACAAATCCACATGTAACACGCAGCAATCGAGCAACAACGCATAGCGTAGCCACAACGAACGCAACACAAGCGCATTCGGCGCAGCTGCAAACAGCATTAACGCATATGCAATCGCAGCAGCAACAACAGACGCAGCAACAGCAAACACATATGTTTCCAACAGCTATGCTTGCGATCGCAACGGCACCGCCACCAACCACCTACGGCAATACCAACAGCAATGTGGGTGGCGGTCCGACGGCACTAGCGAATGTCAGCACCGTCAATGCTACACAAAATGTGAATGTCATTTCGGCCGCGCCGATTGTGGTGGAGTTTAGTAATTTTCCGTTGAATTGCATGCGCGCGACGACAACAACGGCGGCGAATGGTACAGCATCGGCAGCGCTAACGGTAGCCACATCGCAGCCGAATAGTGATGTTAATAGGGGCTTGGGGTTGGGCGGTGTGAACGGTGCAGCATCGAATACACACCATCATCATCATCATCGGCATCATCATCACTATCACGGCAACAACAACAATTCGGCGGCGGCGGCGGCGGCGGCTTCAATGCATCAACATACGCTACAGCAGCAACAACAATCACAACATTCAGTGCAACTGCCTCCGGCTACGCCATCGTTACCGTTACCGCTGCCGCTTCCGCTGCAACCAGATGTGAGCATACAAACGCCAGCTTCAACACAACAACTGCAACAGCAACACCCACATACACAACATCAGCAACAGCATGCCACACATTTCGGTTATCATCATACCCATCCACAACATCAACATTTGCGCCATTATCACCATCATCCACCACCGTCGGCGCCGCCGTCGCTGTAAAGCGTTGAAAAAAAGTTGTATAAAAATGTGTAAGCAACAGGTTGCAGCGACATAATACTTTATTTAAGCGGTTACGCATGAAGTAGAACAAATAATTGTAAAAAATAAAAACATTCAAGGAAGTCGAAGAAGAAGTTGGTTGTAAAGCTGTGAAATAAGTAGAAAAAACTGCTACAAAAAATTGTACAACACCTTGCTTGATCGAGTACTATCATTAGTATGTACACCAACAACAACAACAAATTAGTAGTAGTTTACTAATAAAATAGTGGGAGTTTTCACTTAAAAAATCATGGAGAACTGTACGTGTAGTTAACCAAGATTCGACTTATTAAAGATATGTATGAAAATGCTAACAGCATGTTGCAGCAATATGACCCTCTACTGAGGTTGTTGAAAAAAAGTATATATATTGAAAGAAGCAAACTTAATTTTTTGTTTAAAGAGAAAAAGTTGCTGGCGATATTGTTGCACATTATGTTGGAGCAGCATCTTAAGGAAGTTGCACAAAACTAAAGAGAGTAAAAAATGCAAACAACTATTAATTTTCATTCAAAATTTATTTAAAAGCAAAATGTGCTCGTAAAAATTTGTGTGCAACATCTTACAACAACGCCACTGCCCTTTATCGCAGCGGTTGAACAGCAACTGAAGTAGGAAAAGCAGTAATTATAACTAAGACCAACAACCACAACAAATAAATAAGCAATTTTTTGAACTTACCACCGTTTCTCGTAATAATATTAATACACATTTATGTAATTTGTATTCGTTATAATGTTTTCCCAAATTTTTTTTTTTTTCATTTGTAAAGAATTAAACAATTTTTTGTTCGATTAACTATTTATCGCAATATATATATTTTATATACATATATGTATATACACCGTTATAAGTTTAATCCTAATTCCGTTTTATTGCTTAAGCTTATACACATACTACATACATACATATTTATAAACATACAATAATATAACTTTTCAGTTAGTAGATTTGACTGATTGTTGAATATAAAAAAAAAAAAAAAAACATTTACCATATTCTGCAGGTTTAATTGGAACGTTTTTTGTCTTTTAACTTTTTCAGTAAATACTGAAAATGCTTGTATGCAACATTTATTGTTTTTTTCGTTTAAAATTGTCTAACTAACATTTGTTTATTATTTGTCAGCGTGTATACATTATATGATCTGCGGACGTAGTGGAATGAAGCGGCTTAAAAATATATTTTTTTTTATGAAGAAAATTTTTATGGCAACCGACAACAGCAAATTGATGTATTGCTCTAGTGGCGTACATTTTTTAACGAAATCTATATTTTTAAACCGTCTTCAGTCACCGCACCAGCGTCCCACCAATAAAGCGAAGAACTAATAAATTTGGTAAAATATGTATGTAGCAATAAGAATCTTTTTTAAGAAAACGATGAATAATGCTAAAGTTAATACGGTAAAAACCAATATGAATGGCAAAACAGTAGCTACGAGATCAATAAACAAAAATAAGCAACAACAAAATTTTACCTCTAATGGCTGTTTTTTCTGTTTTTGCAGCTGCGATGTGTTCAAAAAATTATGTTTATTATTATTATAATTTTTTTTTTATAATTTCGACTCATATACATACATACAATAAAAGAAAAGCAATAGCGTTAATGCGTTAAAATTTTGGTGTTTAAAATTTATAGAATTAGTCGGCCGCATTATATAAGGCAGTTAGTATTGTATAATATTAGCGTTACATTTTAGTTCGAAAACATTAATTCACCTTTTTTATTTAAATTTGATTAACAATTTTTATTTTTTTTTGTTATAAAAATATGTTTTCAAAAATTTTGATTTATAACATTTTTTTAATTTTGAATGTATTTTTTTTCAATATATTTTTCATTTCTCTTTTTTGTAGTTTATGGAGAATATTAAAAATCATTATGTTTAAAAAAAATATTAAAATTTGTTTAAACATATTTATAAATTTTGAATATATATTTTTCTAATTATTTTTGCTACATAAAGTTTTATTTAATTCAATTTCGTTGCAAGGCTAGTTACCTGCCTTACTTGATTAAATTTTCAATATTCTTTCCATTTCCCATTTATGTATTTTCTGATTACTAATTTATTCTGTCAAATATGCAATTTTCTTTAAATTCCTTTAATTTATACAAATTTTTTTTTTTTGCTTTGGCATTTATTTCAAATTCATTATTACATAAAATTAGACATATAAATCCATATATTCATAAATATTTAAAAAGTAATATATTTTTAATTTAATTTTATTAACTAATATTTTACTTCCTTTAAATTTATATATTATTTATATATACACACAAACAAATATATATAAATATATATTTTGTATATAAACAATTACGCGTTGCATACACATATATATGTTTTTGTACTGAATGCTATGTTGCCGCCGTTTAAATTTTATTTTACATGCTTGCTTTTATACACATTTTAATAACAGTTTTTTTTTCTTTTGAAATTATTTTTTTTTCGTGGAAATTTATTATTTTTTATACAATTATTTACAAGAAGATAACCATAATTATTTTTTACATATACACATACATACAACAACAATTAATGTTAAAAAAAATATTTTGTATTTTTACATATACATATATATTTTTTTTCTATTATATACATAAATATTTATTTAAAAATGAAAAAAAAAAATATTGTTATAAAAGCAGTTTTGAATAAATATGATTTTTTGGATTTATCTCAAAACTCGAAAAAACACCATAAAAATAATTGACTTTTTATTTAATACTTTGTGTTGGTAAGTCTTATTTTCAACTCCATGTCGGAAGATTATTGGCAGGGTAATCGTTAGACGGCGGTTTGTCGATTTCCGGTTTGAAGTTATTGAAAAGTGTTAAAGGAGTTAACTAATTATTTTCAAATAGCGTAGTTCATAGAGGAAAAAATATTACTCAGTGGGGCGAAAAATAAATATTGCAAAGTTCACAGTTTAATAAAAACTTTAAAATGTTTTTTTTTCAATTTTTCTTTTTTATTTCATTTTATTTCACTATACGTGTGTACTATTTTTTTAAATTTACTTTAACGGTTTTTAATTATTTTACTTTATTTGATTTCATTTTATTTTAATTTGTATTCATTTATTTAATTTTATTAATATAATATTATTTAACTAATATTTTATTTAAATTTATTTTTTAATTATCATTTAATTTCATTTATCTTACTTTATTTAATATAACCTTTTGTTGCATTTTATTTACTTCACCTGTTTTTTTTTAATTAGTTTAATTTTATTTGGAGTTTTTTTATTTTATTTATCATAATTTAACAAACATTTTATATAGAATTTATTTTAAGTTTTATTTTAAATTTTTTTTAAGTTTTTTTAAATTTTTTAAAATTTTTTTTTTTAATTTTAAAAATTTTTTTTAAATTTTTTTTTTAATTTTGTTTTTTAATGCTTTAGTTAGTTTTATTTTTCACTGCATTTAACTTGCTTTACTTAATTTTTTTTCGCTTTCGCATTTATGAAGAATCTTTGACTATATTAAATATTAATATTTAATTAAGTTAAATGTATTAAATATTCTTTCAATTTACGAGATATGTAAATACATACATATGTATATGAGAAACTGCCAGCTTGCAATAAAAAGAATTAAAAATGAATAAAAAAAATAATAATAATTTATGTCTGAAACAATTCTCTTAAACCTAATAAATAGACCAAAAACGGCATATTTTCCCGATGAAATTTTATGTAGATAAATGTAAAATGTTGTAATTAAAAAAAAAAAATGAAATAGATGCTTTATAAAAAAAAAGTTGCATTTGTAAATAGCCGCTACGAGAAAAGTATTCAAAATAACATATTTAAAAAAAAACACACATTTTATTCGTGAATTTTATTATACATATTTATATTTCTTTATTTTTTATTTTTTTCTTGTAAAAAAAAGTACACATATTTTAATATTTTTACAAAGTGAAGAAAAATTGCATAATTTTAAAACACACTCATTAAGAAAGAAAAATATGTATGTATATGCATAGCCAAAGCAATAATAAAATTAATAAGTGTAAAAATATTAATAAAAGAAAACTGTAAATTCGATCAAAAAATTGCTGTGTTGTGGTAGTTTGATACAAAAAAATAACCCAAAATACATATATGTATGTGCAAAAATTTGAAATATAAAATTGTGAACTAGATTTTTAATTCCAAAACAAATAACCAGCGTACTAGAATTGTGACAGTTTGTAAATAAAAACTAAAAGCCCTCCAAAACAAATCTTTTCCTAAAGTCAAAACTGTAATTTTACATTCACCAATATTTCCCCGCTAGCAAATTAAAAACAAAAAATGTTTTTTGTAACATTGATTTTTTTAAACAACACTTTTTCGAATTTTTTTTCGAAAATTAATAATATTAAAAAAATAATATTCCTAAAATTCGTTGAGAAATGATTTTATACAAATCCAGGAACTCTTTTTAAAAATCTTACCTACTATGGGAAAATTGGTGATTTTTAGAAATCTAAATTTATAGAAATTTTTTTTTACTAATGAAATATTTTCTATTAAAAGCAGCTTTTGTATCAAGAGTTCCATGGAGTGTGGTTATTATTATATCTAGATCTAGAAACAAATCTGTTAAAATCTTTTCTCCAAGTTCTATTTATTTAATTTCATTTATTTAAATTTTTTTCTTTGCTATTTGTAATTTTCAATTTATTTATTTTATTATTTTTATTATTATTATTTTTGTTTTATTGTTATTTTATATTTATTTATTTTTACTAATTTTTAATTTATTTATTTTTATTAATTTTTAATTTATTTATTTCATATTATTTGTATTTATTTACAACTTATTTTTTTATTTTTTCATATTTTTGAATTTTTTTCTCTTATTTTTAATCACTTGCATGTTATATTTAAATTTTTTATTAATTTTATAATAATTTTTTAATTTATTTCCATTATGATTTGACGGCTTTT